GTTTACTTCCGAGGTCAAGGTTTTACATTCCAACAGATTAGGAGCTCCTTACTCTAGAGAAGCGGGAGAGTCTCCAAGATTAGAAGAGAACTTTTATGCAAATCCTTTTCCAGGTTGTATTTGTGATAGATCTTTGATGGTAGCGAACAAACATCAAATTAACAAGAGACCGAGTTTGAATGCTGCTGCACAAAGATAAGGATTTATCTCAACTTGGTAACTGGTTGTAGATTAGACAAATATTAGTATTTGATCTACAGTATTAGGCAGCAAGCAGAATCAAAGAGGACTTACGCCATATGAATTACGTTAATGAACAAATCTTAAAGAAGCGAGCAACTTCTGAAGCAGAGATGGTGGCTAATGTGAAAAACAGAAGAGGCAGATATAACACAGGTACTCAAATCATTCTTTACTGTGCAGTATAGAACATTTATTCATTTTCTTATTTATTCTGAGTTGGTTTTGGTAATTGGTTTATTTATTAGGTTTTCCACAGATTCACAATGTAACATACCACAAACGTCATTATACTAGTCTTTATACATGGTTGCAAATTTCTTCATCTTCATACTCAGATGAACTGTTTACATTATCGATTTGTATGAGTCTAAAGTTTTAGCAGCCAATATTGTAGGTTGACTTGTTCATGTGTTTTTTCTTTTTCAATATTTCGAAACTCAAAAAACTCATTAAAACTTAAATTTTGTATCCACCTCTATTATTCAACAACATAATCAAAGAAACAAGAACTCGATACAAAACGCAAAATAAATAAAAATTCACAAGCTCTAGCTACACTACACTCTTTTTCTTTTAACTTATATATACGCTCATTACTCAACTGGAATCATAACTTCATTAGTCTTAAATGGAGGCAATGTCCATGGCGGATTATACCTAGCCAACTCAAATTCCCCAATTATCTTAAACCCATCTCTCTCTAACCATTTCTTCAAATTCTCCACTTTCTCTTTCACCATTTTATCATTTGCAGTCCCACTAAACTTGACCACCCCATACTTCCTTTCCCCTTCTTCTACAATCACCACTCTCTCATCCAACGGCTTCGGTGCTTCTTCAGCTTTCGTATACTTCGCCGGCAAAATAAACTGCATAGTCACTGTATTGTTCTCTCCGTCACCGGTCTTAGTTACCACCGGTGCAGTCATGGCGATTTCCTCAGACGATTTGGTGATTACTGGAGCTGTCATGGCGATTGTTTCAGGTTTGGAGTTTTGGGGATTACCCAATGCGCCGATGTAATTGGCTAGTAGCATGAATCCGCCGTCTTTGTTGCCTTTAAACTGGGCTGGATCGTATGTGACTTGAGCTATAACAGCTGCTGGATATTTGCGGATTTCGTAATCAGGTGTAGATTGAATCAATTCGTATTTGGGTGTTTCAACAGAGATTTTCCCCAAAACCATGCCCATTTTGGATGAGATGAGTTGTTGCAAAATGGAATTTGAGATTAAATGTTGGCTGTGAATTGTTAGTACTTAAATGGAAGGAAAGGAAGCTTCTGGTGCGAAATCGACTTGGGAAAGGGGTTTTGTTTGCTGCAAAATGAATGGCGGTAGATGAGGGCAAGGGGAAAAATAGGCTGTGGAGTTTGTTTTGCCACGTTTACTTGTTTCTTGCATCAAAAGAAAAATTTGTACTCCCTTGGTTTTTTTCTACTCATGCGATCACGATATGATATGATATGAGATGAAATCAGCCTTTGAATGTGTAATATATTAAAGAAAAATCTTTCATTATTAATGATCTTATGCATATCACATAAAGTTGAAATTATTTGAATTATTAAAGAAAAATAAAGAGAAATTTCATTTAAATGGACAAATAATAACAGTAAGATATATCATATATATGAAGTATGAACTGCTTAAATAAGAATTTTTGAACAACAAATGATTAGTTCAGATAGTCATGACTCAGAAGTACTGGATTTTTGTTCGGATAGGCCTTGGTGCATTATTATTTGAGGATTTTTTAGAAACAACTACTATTAACTTTTACTTCTTCTGTTTCAAAAAGAATATTCTAGTTTGACTTGGAACGGAGTTTAAGAAAAGAAAGAAGACTTTTTAATCTTATGATTCTAAATTAAAGTTATGTCAAATGTATCAAAATGTCCTTTAATCTTGTGGTTTTAAACATGTCATGTGAAAAGTTGAAGTTAAGTGTTGCCAAAAAAGGAAAGGAGTCATTCTTTTTTAAACAAATTAAAAAGGAAATAAGATCATTCTTTATGAAACGGAGAGAGTAGTTGTTATTAGGCTTCCTAAGCTACAATTTCTCTATTTACATATTATCTTTTCAAATAATATAATTGAGCTAAAATAATTTTTTAAAATATTCAAATCTTCCGGTAATCTTTTCAATTATGATAATTGAGGGGAAAAGAATCTGAAAAATACTTCAACTTTGGTCGAATTTGTTGTTACGATACCAAACTTTATGAAGGACCTTTTATCCCTATACTATTTAATAGTGTATTTTAAAGGTATACATGTGCCCACATGGACACATTACTAATTATAATGATGCAATTTTTATGATGTCCACGTGGACACATATATACCTTTAAAATACACTATTAAATAGTGCAGGGGGTAAAAGGTCCTTTCCAAAATTCAGTTTTGTTACAACAATTTCGATCAAAGTTTAGATATATTTCAGACTCTTTTTCCAAATATTTAAAACTTCCTGTGATCTTTTCCAAGTATAGTAATTGAGCTATCCGCACTCCCTTTAGATATTTTTCGGTGATCTTTTCAAATATGGAAATTGAGCTAAATCCACTCCTTAAAATATTCAATTTGAAACGAAAATCTCAAATGTGAGTAATACATCATTTATTCTAAAGATTCAAAAATTGAAAATTGAAAACGACATTTCCTATACAAAAACGAAATGGTATCAGATGATTCAAAACACAAATGATAACTTTTCAAAGAAACAAATACAAATGCAGAGTCGGAATTTCTTTGGTTCCTTTATAATGTACTCAACATACATTAAAGAAGCATTATGCTATTAAATCTCAACGGAGGCAATAACCATTATTAGGTGATTTTTTCATTCTACTTAAGTTTTGATGTACAAAATCATTCTATATTTATAAAACTGATAGGAGGTAACAAATACTTTCGAGTAATTTCTTTTCAAGTTGTCTAATGATGCTGATGATGCTTTCTTATCATTTTCGGGAAGCATCTATGGTGTGAGGCTTCTTTTACTTATAGAAAATATGAACTTAATTTATGGAATTAAACTAAAAAAATTGCATGCAACTAATGTCAATGATGTAAGTGAGATACATAATAAAGTTTTTCGTTTATGAGTGATAATTGGATCGTCATAAGTGTTTATTCGAACCAAGTTGGGTTTGCGGTATATCTTTTAACAATGGGGAAACTTATAAATTTCATTAGTTTAACAGTTAATTACTTAGATACACTCTAGTTCGCAATATATGTACCTAACTAAATTTTGGTCCGTCCATATACTTTCTATATACAAATATTTCTGAATACATGGGGTCAAAATTATGTGTAATTTGTTCTAGGTACACTGTATTCAAATGGATTCACATGTATCTATAATACATAACAAATCTCGCTCGCCTCACATCACGTTCGCCACTCTCCTATGTATCTGAAATTGAATCGCACCAGGGTACATGTATCTAGTGTAATTCGCATGTATCTGGGATACATAACAAAATCTCGCTCTATGGTACGGTAGATCCGTAACCACATAGTTTGTTCAACTTCGACTAATATATACTCGTATAAAGAGTATTGTGACTTCAAAAAAAGGCATTAATTGTATCATACTAACACATTACACGTGTAGAAATATATGTTCAATATAAAGTACAAACAACTCCTTTTGTTTTTATGGTTAAATTTCAATCAAAATAGAGTAGTCAAAGTTTCAACTTCTAAACATTAGTTTATATTAGGGAAAAGGGTCCAAAAAATATCCAACCTTTGACCGAAATAGCTATAACAATCTCAAACTTTGGGTAAGACCTATTATCCCCCAACGCTATTTAATAGTGTATTTTAAAGATATATAGGTGACCACGTGAAACATCATCATAAATAGTGCTTTGTCCAGCTGACCACTTATATATCATTAAAATACACTATTAAATAGTGCGTTGGGGGGGTGGGGGGTAATAAGTCCTGCCCAAAGTTTGGGAATGTTACAACAATTTCGGTCAAAGTTCGAATATATTTCAGATTTTTCCCCTTTATATTAATACTAGGTTGCATATTTGTCGATATTTTAATAATAATAATAATAATAATAATATATATATATGTTATTTATGTTACTATATATTATATACCATTAGAAATATTCTGAATATGTACAGCAGACATCAGTATGATGCCGACTTGAACGATCTGCAAATACTAACTAATGTAATACAACCAAAATAATTACCCTTATTTAGAAGAGGGATATAGAAGATGTTTCAATTTTGATATATAAGATTAGCATGTCATTGTTTATCATATGTAGAGGATGCCGGAGTTCGCTTCTTAGTAGCTAATCTTTCTTCATTCAAAAAACCATAGCATAGGAGTCGTTGGCACAACTCAAAAAAATTGCACCCAAACAAAAGAATCAAAAAGTAAGAAAAAAAGGGAGAATGCTCAAAGTTGTTAGGAACATTCTGCATTTACAGTTTATCATTCATATTCTATTGGTGTCGCAACTTCTGAACAATCCAAGCTCGTTTCTCTCTATTTTAGTGTATCTCGTAGCAAAAATATATGTATTTAGGTGTATCTTCCTCGATATATGGTAGAGAACGTTTAATTAGTGATAATATACGTAATGTTTTAAAAGTATAACTAATACAATATATATGGTAGTAGAGTATGTCTAATTATATAGTTTCTTCTTAGAAAATCACCAAATAAAAATAGATGATAAATTTTGAATTTAATAAAAACAAATAAGCTGCATAGAATTTGGATCTCTATTAATAAAAGCAAATAAGCAAGAACTACATAATAAATTCGATATAACACACTATAAAGCAGGCAATGAAATAGTACACGCTCCCAAACTTAATAGAGTCTGATATACAAAGTATACAGCTCATATACAATACGTTTCAGCTTCACTCAACTGGAATCCTAACTTCATTGGTCTTAAATGGAGGCAATATCCATGTCGGATTATACCTAGCCAATTCATATTCCCCAATTATCTTACACCCATCTCTCTCCAACAATTTCTTCAAATTCTCCACTTTTTCTTTCACTATTTTATCACTTGCAGTCCCACCAAACTTCACCACCCCATACTTCCTTTCCCCTTCTTCTACAATCACCACTCTCTCATCCAACGGCTTCGGTGCCTCTTCACCTTTCGTATACGTCGCCGGCAAAATAAACTGCATAGTCACCGTATTCTTCTCTCCGTCATCGCTCTTAGTCACCACCGGTGTAGTCATCGCGATTTTCTCAGACGATTTGGTGATTACAGGGGTTGTCATCGCGATTTTTTCAGGATTTGAGTTTTGGGGATTACCGAATATGCCGATGTAATTGGTTAGTAGTTTGAATCCACCGTCTTTGTCGCCTTTGAACTGGATCGGATCGTATGTGACTTGTGCTATAACAGCTGCTGGGTATTTGCGGATTTCGTAATCTGCTGTAGATTGAATTGATTTGTATTTCGGTGTTTCAACACAGATCTTTCCGAAAACAATGCCCATTTTAGAGAAAATTTCTGGATTTTTTTAGTTCTTTGCAAAATGTAAATTGAGAATGTTGATAGTAAAAGTTGCTGTGAATTGCTACTTATAATGAAGAAAAAGGAAGTTTCGGTAGAAGTTTGAAGAGCCGGCAAAAAGGACTGGGGAAAGGGGTTTCGAATTTCGATTGCTGTAAAATGAATGGTGGTTGATGAGCGGGAAAAGAAGAAATAGGTTGTGGAGTTAGTTTTGCCACGATTACTTGTTTGCTTGCATTGGAAGAAAATACGTACTCCGAGCACTATGAGGTCTCAGATTTAATTTCTTCTTATATTTAGTTTTGGTGGATAGAATTACATGTTGTTGGTTGGGTGATACGGTATTTCATGGAATTAATTTAGGTGTGTGAAAAGCTAGCGTGGACATTGTTATAAAAAAGTATAAATTATAGGAACCACATATTATAAGTACTAAATAACATCATATCCCTTCTAGTTTTCTATTTACCAAAAATCCCTTAAAAATGATGTTTGCGGGATACAAAGCGTTGTGCACGGGATACATTAGGTTTGATACATTCCACATAGCGGGATACATAACGTTTGATACATTCCACATAGCGGGATACATAGCGTTGTGCATGGGATACATGCGGGATACATAGGTAAATAAGGAATTTTTGAAATAAGTAGGGATAAATGGGTATTAAGGTAAGTAAAGGAGTGTAGTTAAGTAATTTGTCCTATAAAAATGATTATTTATCTAATTTTGGATTTAATTTGACACAAATTTAACCAAGTAATAGACATATTTGAATGTCTTAAACTAAGAATATATAGAATGTACTGAAAATATTATTTCATTGTATGGTCTTAAATATGTAATGTAGAAGTTGAAAAAATATTATTTCAATTGATAATTGTTAAATTAGTAACAAATCAATCTATATCTTGTAGGTTTCGATTGTGGTTTAGTCATTTAAAAATTGATAATCAATAAGCAAAAGTTAAGTACAAATATTCAATTGAATTGCCCGATAAATTTCTATACTATTTGTATATATTCTAAAAAATTTATAAAGAAAAGCTTCTCTATTTTAGCTATGTGACATTATTTCCATATTAGTTAGTCTTAAAGAAAAATGACATTTATATTTGAATAAATTTAACTTTTAACCTATTTAAGACATGGGAAAATAATAGGAATAGCTCCTAGGAAAAATTAAGGAGTTATGACATATTTCTAATTATAAATTTTAAAAACAATTTCTTTAAAATTTATATTGAATCAAATTTGTCATATGAATTAAAAGAAAAAAATTATTATAAATCAGATTAGATGACTTTAAATATTTAATACAATTATGGTAAACGATAAAGTTATTTGACTGTCCTCAATATCGAGGCATTCATTAGAAATGTCTTATGCAACTAGGCTTTGATGAATAATATGTTTTTTGACTATTCAATGAGAACTCAAATATAAGGATCATTCATTTTTGAGCTTGTATTTGAATTTTCGAAATTTCAATTTTTATTTTTTGATGTCAAACTCCACGTGTTCTCTTTTTAAAAAAATGAATTTTTCAAAAATTGGAAAGAGCCTATCACGACATTTCTAATATTTCACTAGGGTTTGATTATACGTTTTAAAAATTTATCTCTGAAAAAATTGACCAGTTTTTAGTAGACATGAGTTTTTTTCTTTTTTTTTTTAGTAAAATGCACATTTGAATACAACTTGTAAAGTCCCAAAAATTACAATTCAAAAATTTTAATTTTATATTTCAACTTTAAAATCTATGAACGAATTAAACGTTGAACTCTTTGTACAAGTCCATTGTTGGGAGTGAAAGACTTATTTGTGTTTCCTCCAATTTTTTACTATAGATTGGACACTCATGATCTCTAAACGTTGAACCTCGAGTCGCACACTCATGATTTCTAATCGGCGCCAGAACATAGGAACGTGCTATGAGGGAACCTTTTTCAATATCAAGTGTGCTATCGTTTCACCTTGAGAAGACGACTATGTTTTAGTGACCTAGCTATAAAAGAAGGCTCTACAAAGAAAAAAAGGCATCAAAAAATTCCTAAAAGCTTTACATTATTTTCAAGTAAAATGCACGTTTGAATACAACTTTTCAGGTCCCAAGAATCACAATCCAAAAACTCAAATTTTACGTTTCAACTTCCAAATCTATGATGTTACGACTCGATTTCGAAAACTAAGGTTTCGAGACCATTTTCACAACTTTGGCAATTTTTGTTGAGTTTTGGAAAAATTTATTATTTGGAAGTCGCCACTTAATTTTTAGGATAAAATTAAGAAAACCATTTAAAAGGTAATTTTGAAGTAAAACCTTTAATAAACCAGAGTCGGGTAAGGGTTCAAATAATTCTCTAAGGAAGGGTTTAGGCATCTTAGAGAATCCGCTAACATGCGGTTGACCGGCAGATTTAAAAGCTTGGCTAATTTTATATAAAATAAAATAAAATTTCCTATATATAAAAAAAAGTTCATGTTTGAAACTTAGATAAAAATATTTTGATACTTGTAAAGATATCAAGAATAAACCTAACTTGAAAACTTTTACCCATAGTCTACTTTTGAACCATACAATTAATCCAAACTCCTAAACATGGATTAAAGGACCTTGTTTAATAACTAAGAAAGGATATAGAAAAATCCTTAAGTCATTGAGTCGCCATTCTGTTACGACCCGATTTCGAAAACTAAGGTTTCGAGACCATTTTTGCAACTTTGGCAATTTTTGTTAGTTTTGGAAAAAATTGTAATTTGGAAGTCGCCACTTAATTTTTAGGAAAAATTAAGAAAACCATTTTAAGAGGAAATTTTGAAAGGAAAACAGTTTAACTAAACCAGAGTCGGGTAAGGATTCAAATAATTCTCTAAGGAAGGGTTTAGGCATCTTAGAGAATCCGCTAACACGCGGTTGACCGACGGATTTAAAATTTTGGCTAATTTTATATAAAAAAGGGCTGCTTAAAAAATCTTATTTGAAACTTAAATAAATATCTTTTGAAACTTGTGAAATCTCAAAAACAAACCTAACTTAAAACTTTTGTCCATAGTCATGTTTTGAACCAACGATTAATTCAAACTCTTAAACATGGATTAAAGGACCTTGCTTGACAACTACAAAGGGATATAGAAATCCTTAAGTCATTCATACAAAGTCCTAAGTTAAACTAAAAGACAACTAATTTATTTTAAGATACTTAACAACTTTACCCTATTTAAAAATTTGAACTAAATAGTTAGTTCAAACTCGTAAACATGGATTCAAAGCTTTTCAATAACTATGAAAGAACATAAAAGGTTCTCAAGTCATTCTATAAAGCTTAAATTAGCTAACTTAAAATGAGTTTCGAAATTTGAAAACTTAAATAAACATATCACCCCAAGGATTCATCTAAATTGATAAAAACAAATGTTAGAAATTAAGAGCAAGTATCACAAAATCACGATATAAGGGAAACAAAAGTGCAAATAGGATTTGGACAACTTTAAGTCCGCTTGCTGCTTCTCATTTGCTGCTGCCCAGATTGGACTTTTTAAAGTCCAAAAATTTCCAATTTTAGCTCCTTTGGGACTGCTGCTACTGCTGCTGGTCTGTCGGGGTTTTGACCCAATTTTACTCCTCGTTTTTCTGCCCTTTAGAGGCAGCTGCAACTCCGCTTCAGCTGGTGCCATTTTCAGGCTTTTCAAATAAAAAAAAAAAACTATTCTTTTAGCCCTTTAGGCTTCTGCTGCGCTGTCTCTTTGGGGTGTTTATCCCGATGAAAATAACTTCCATTTCAGTCGGTTTAAAGGAGGTCGACTCGAAGAGGAAAATGCAAGAGATGAGAGTCCATTGGACTCATTGTGATGTCACATACAACAAACAAAAAAGAAGAAAAAAAAAGTAAATTAGCAAAGTGAACAATTTTTAGATGATTAAGGAAAGCACACATCTTATTCATCTTTAAGCACAAATAATTTATACGATCAAACAAAGCTTGCATTTTCATCAAATTTTAGCTTAAAATGAACAATTTCAATTAAAATAGAAAAAAAAAAAACTAGTACCACAATATGAGGAGCTTATCACATAATACTTGCAGGAAGGTTTGTAGCCAAGAATTAAGGCATGCAGACTTCAACTAGCAGGTATAATAATTATGATAGAAAGAGTACATTCCATATAATTAATAAATAAAGAGATTCAAACAAGTATCACACCAAAACCAAACCCGACACCACTCATGGATGTACAAACTCCAATCTCTTTTAGATTCAAAATTTAAACATTTTAAAGTCACATAAGATTAATTGATATGTATTAACTCAGTTATGCGAAAGTGGTAAAAATGACATATCATAATGAGGACTTCAAAGTAGTTTATATTAACATGCTTAATTAACTATGGACAATTGAAGATTATTTTTTTGGCAGAGATAAATCAAGTAATATGCCAAGCAACATGAAGGCAACATTTGATCCTAAAACCTTTTCTTTCTATTCACATTAAGACAAACCATAACAATAAACTTTAGCTACATATTTGAGCAAAAGAAAATCGGAAAATAGACAAGGAAGGGACAATTTAAACAACTTCACATAAACCTTAAATTCAACCAACAATCAAAGAAAACTAAAGATTAAGGAGTAAAAAATAAAAATAAATAAAAAAATCGGTTAACACATGAGAACTTTTGTGCTCCATTAATCCCGATAGTAGCATTATAAAGAACAACAAACTAACATCTTAACGCAAAAATCAATTGTCAGTTGTGTTCAACATATAGCTACACTCATTAATCTTAAGGTAACATGAGACATAACACTAAATCGAACATCATTTTGAATCATTCACATGGAAATCAAAACATGAACCTCAAAACAGAGAGACAGACGACAACTAGGAGCTGAAAACAATTGGAAATAGGACAGCATGAAGCAAGTTCGCAAACTCGAACTTAAACAGTCACGCTATAACCAAAATAAACACACTTCAAGCCCACATTGGATCACATGGCTGACTAGAGAGAAATTAATCACGACATTCTCT